ATTTATATATTTGATTCTTTTGTAAATTTAACTTCTGACTTACAATGTGCAGTATTTGGAATTATGAGACAACACATTTCTATTCAAAGGAAGTGGATGTGTTCTCCTTAGGCTCCTCACTTAAATAAATAAACAGATATTTGAAAAAAGATTTCTAAAAACTATTGTAGTTTTGGTACAGAACACTTTTGTTGCTCTGCTTATAGCAGTGACTCTCCAGACAGCACTCCCCCACACCAGTCTTTTTTTGGTGTACTTTCCACTAAGCTTTTAAACATGAAAGTAGGTATCTCACCCTCTTATATTGTCCATAGTCATAGCTTTAACTCTTTGCCCTAGTTTCTTATGGTTGACTTGCTCTTATTTTTTGAGATTTATTTTTCTGTTTATTTCCTCTCTTCATTCTTGTTTTTAATGTTTGGATTACTACAGTTTCACTCCCTCTTTCTGTCTTTGATTACCCTTAAAACACATTTCTTGTTCTGCCTGGCTCCTGGAACCCCTGACATGGTCTTAGCCTTTTGAGCGGCCCTTGGGTGGTATACATTTCCATGAGCATTAGGGCTCACAACTGACCGACTGCTTCCCGGGAAGACTGTACCTTCACAGATACGTGAACTCTGCCTCCAGCGGGGCAGTCTTTCATTTCGATGTATGACTCGTGTACATTGAATGTGTACTTAGTCCCTGGGATCTCTAGGACTGATAAAGCAAAAAAGAGTGATTTCTAGCCCTTTCGAGAAACAGTAGCTTTTAATCTAGACTTTGAACCATATTGCATTGAATGCTTATGATAGCGAACCACAACATCAGTGTTGTTGCTCTGTCTTTTTTTTAACAAGGAAGGATCCTAAGCAGAGCCATCAGAATGCTTCCTTTTTTACTCTCAAAAGGTTCTAATTTATCTGACAATGGCTTCATATCTAGAATATATAAAATTTACACAAGTCAGTAAAACAAACCATCCAGTTAAAAAAAAAAAGCAGGATACTTACGAAAGTACTGATAAACGAGCTTAGTAGATAGCTAGGAAACATAAAAAGTGCTCAGCATTATCACTTATAATGGGATACAGATTGTAACTGCAAAAATCCACTGCCATGCACCCACTAGAATGGCTACCAAACAAACAAATCCCCCCAAGCCCAAGAAAAAATACTCACAATCCTGACAATATCGCGCATAAGACTATGGAACAATTACAATTCTAATACACAGCTTTTGGCAGTTAAGATTTTAATTCAACCACTTTGGAAAACTGGCGGTACTTACTAAAACCGAACATAGGGTACCCTGTCCCCAGCTAATCAGTTCCTAGATAGGTGCCCAGTAGAAGTGAGTGCACCTAGAGAGAAAACATACTTTATGATTCCCTTTATATTGAGTTCAACAACAGACAGGATTGGCCTGTGGTTATTGACGTCCGTGATGTGGTTGACTTTGGGAAGTGTTAATTATAGGCACAAAGAGGCCTTTTGGACTATTGGTAGTAGTCGGTTTATTTTGGGTGCTAATTGCATAGGTACATTCACTGTGTAAAACTTACAGGTACACATATTTGTGTACTTGTCTTAGTTACTTTTCTTGTTGCTCAGACAAAATGCCCAACGCTCAAAGTTGAGAGAGGAAAGGGTTATTTGGGCCAGTGTGCAGAGCTTCAGCTCAGAGTTGGCTGGCTCCGACCATGCAGGTGGCATGGCAGAGGGGCATCACAAAGGAGCAACAGTTCATGGCAGGCAGAAGACAACAAGTGACAAGGGACAAGAGATGACAGCAGCCCTCTTTCTGTCTCTTACATTCAGGCTGTCTGCCCTTAGGAGCAGGTAGCACTCACCTTTAATCCTAGCATCACAGTGTGAACCAATCCCAGCCTCACATTCTTGATCCCAGCATCTCACACCCTAGATCCAGCCACCTGCAAAAAGCCCCACCTGTGACCACATGAGGCCTTGGGGGGACGTCTAAACACAAACCATAACGGCAATTTTCTATTTTTTTCTTCAAATTGATCCTAAGACTACTTTCCTCCCTTACCGCCGTTTATTTCTACTAGGTCTGTATTTGTTACTCATATATATATAATTTAATTTGGATTTTAATTTAATTTTAAGAATGTGCTCCAAAATCATGCTTCTTTAATAAGAACAAGGAAAAAGGTTGAGGTCATGTCCTATTAGACTAATAAAGAAACATCTTTTAAAAAATAAAGCTATACTAGATGAACTAGATTAAAGTACACCTTGTACTTCTGAGGTAACTCATCACATTATGCAACTATTATGTGGCTTCCTTATTCTTCTAGCTGTTCCTTGGGCATGTTCCATTTTATCAGTGGCTTTTGGAGAATGTGATACCCTGAACACTGTACTTCTTGTGATATAGTGAATGCAGGAGAAAGTAAAATTTCCTTCCTTGGTTTGAACACAGCGTTTCTATTCATTTATTATAAAGTTGTATATTTTCTTTCAGCAACAATGTTATTTTATTTGTTTTTAACATACACTATAAGTTAAATCCTTCAGGACTTCTCATAATCTGCTGCTGAACTAGGTTTCTTCTGTATCTTGTGCCTTTGCTATAATTAACCTATAATCATTATTTTCTGTTTGCCAGTTCATTTACTCTAGCAATTATTTTATTTTAGTACTCTTAGGACCTTATAGCCATATAAATTGTGTTTTTTTTATATTCCTTACCTTCCTTACTGTTTATTACTTTCCTCTGAATCTATTGTAGACTCCCTGTCTTAACTTAGTTACAACTTCAACTCCCTTGACACTACCCTTCTTTCCTTCTGAATGGGAAAAATCCCAGTTCTGGTTAGATCTGCAGTTTTTCTTTTTTCTTTTTATTGAGGTTATTGGTACAATCTAGGTATGCAATACAATTACATTCATCATTGGGATTCTGTACCTTTACATAATAGGTCTTGATTCTCATTTTTCCCCTTGTCCCTGCCCTCCCTTCACCCCCTCCTCCCCTCCCCATTTACAAACACTTTATTTCCATTTTTTCAGTTTCTCATATTTTTTTCCTCTCCCTTATTACCTTTCCCCCACCCTTCCCACTTTCCCTACACCTTTAGCCCTTTACTTCCTATTTCA